ACGCTCTCATCGTGAGTTTAAACCACTAGATCATCTCCTTTCATTGTCCTTTTCTCTCTTTTAAGTCAAATATCGCTATTATTATTGCTCATACTTAGTTAATAATGCAAACAAAGGCCAGACCAGACCAGAAACATTTACTGCATTAAAATACACGATTTTATTGACGTCATCTTAAATATCTCAATTACAAACAAGTGGAGGGAGGAAGAAGAAGTGCACTGTGGGAAATGTAGTCTTAGACTATCAGAATATCGGCGTATAAAAATACATTGATTATAATATTTGTTATTTTATATATTTATATGTATATACTGTATATTTTCAAGTCTGGACATGAATACAGGACAGATACGGAGTGGAAGACGTGCGTTTGAACCAGCGTGTGTGTTCGTACTCTAGGAAGCTGTATGTGAGAAGGTGTGAATGATAGAGAAAAATGTATCAGTGTTTGTGAATTCATAATGAATCTAAACATTAAAGCTACAATGTCTGGGAGAACATCAAACATTTACACTTTAAATTCAGTCTTACGGGTTTGTGAGGAAATTAGCGGTTGCATCCATGTTGCATTAATAGGACTTTCATGTCATGGTGAAATGACCATAATTACCAGTCTCCAAGTAGTAAAACCTGCCCATGTTTTTGTCGAACTTCCAAATGACAAGTCAGAAACTCACAATTTAATGAAAACTCTGGCTAAAACTGGCAGCAGCTTCAATTACTGGCAAACAACAGCTGCTGTACCTCTAGACATATATTATCTTTACTATTGTTTTGTTAAGTTTCCTGATGCACATTCACTGAGAATATGGAGGTAAATTAATGTAGTGATTAATTATTTTTTCTTTCATCGTGAGTAAAGCTGGAGATGCTGCCATTTTGGTGTTATGCACTCTCTGAATATCCAAGATGTAGATGAGTTTGTTTCTTCATCAGAACAGATTGGGAGAAATGTAGCCTTATATCACTTGCTCACCAATGGATCCTCTGCAGTGAATGGGTGCCGTCAGAATGAGATTCCAAACAGCTGATAAAAACATCACAATAATCCACAAGTAATCCACACCACTCCAGTCCATCAGTTAATGTCTTGTCAAGTGAAAAGCTGCATGTTTGTGTGAAATTAATCCATTTTTAAGAAGTTTTTAACTTCAAACTGTTGCTTCCGGCCAAAATATGAGTCCATAATCTATAATAATGCTTTCTCCAGTAAAAAAGTAGTCTCGTCTGAATGAGGAGAGAAATATGCACAGATAAAGCACCGTTTACAAGTGAAAATTGTCCAAAAAAGTTAACAAATGTGTGTGTAGATTTTGACGTGAGAGGAGAGTTGGAAGGACTATTTCACTGGAGGAAGCGTTATTATGGATTCTGGACTCGTATTTTGGCCAAAAGCAACAGTTTGAAGTTAAAAACATCTTAATCACTTCACAAGACATTGATTGATGGACTGCAGTGGTGTGGATTACTTGTGGATTATTGTGATGTTTTTATCAGCCAGAGTTTGGACTCTCATTCTGACGGCACCCATTCACTGCAGAGGATCCATTAGTGAGCAAGTGATGTAATGCTACATATCTCAAAATCTGTTCCAATGAAGAAACAAACTCATCTACATCTTGAATGGCCTGAGGGTGAGTTTATTTTCAGCAAATTTCCATTTTTGGGTGAACTATTTGTTTAAGCAGTAAGTGTAAGAACTTGGATTTTTCCATTAAGGACAATGCAGTGTGGTTGCATCTTATAAGACGGCCTAATGGCATGGGGAGCTCAACTACCGGTTACTTAAAATGCTGTGTAGGTAGGCAGATCGCTAGGTTTGGGAACAGAGCGCTAGACATTCATTAGTCGGGGACGAAAGCCATCCACACACAAAGGTCAGAGAACGTTGACGAGGAGATGAGACAGAGAATCTCCATCAGGATAACACTCCGTCCATCAGCGTAAAGAGGAATATCGACTGCGTTCTGCCTCAGTCAGACACTATGAAGGGGATTTATTGACTGGTTAGATGCAAGGTCTTGTGGGTCTCCTTGGGTTTTAAATTATCCTCAAGTTTTCAGGATGTCAGATGAGCTTTTGGTTCAGCCGTGGCTTTGAGACGTTTGCCACAATGTAACAATTATTTCAAAGCATAATCCGTTCAGTATGAGTAATGTTTTTAGCAAATCCTTTATCCTGGACTGTGTTATGAAGCATATACGTCCATAAATTTGGTTTTTCGACATCATAACCACAGCGGTGATGCTGGTGGCATTTTCCATGAATGCAAACACACTTAATTATGAATTTCTGTGGCAATCTAAGCTGCGGTAGTTCTCTACAGCCACCAGAAACACTTCTTTCGCAGTTTCTTGACGCGGCTCTTGGTTCGAGGACGTATGTGTGCGGGCTTTGGGATGGGGGCGGGAACATCGTACTCTGCTTCATCCAAGGCTTCCAGAATGCTTTGAAATCGTCCCTCCTGCACACGGAAGTCGTGCTCCACACTAGAAATACAGAAATAGATATTAGGAAAAAATGAATTATAAAAAAAAAGCAATTATGCATTGAAAGATGCACATATTACTGAAATTTGCTGAAAATGTACTCCCCTTCAGACCATCCAAGATGTACATGAGTTGGGTTCTTCATGGGAACAGATTTGGAGAAATGTAGCATTGCATCACTTGCTCACCAATGGATCCTCTGCAGTGAATGGGTGCCGTCAGAATGAGAGTTCAAACAGCTGTTAAAAACATCACAATAATCCACAAGTAATCCACACCACTCCAGTCCATCAATTAATGTCTTGTGAAGCCAAAAGCTATGTGTTGAAACAAAGAAACAAACTTTAAACAGTTTATTCTGGCTAAAATATGAGTCCATACTCCATAATAACGCTTCCTTCAGTGAAAAAGTTAATCTGTTGTCTCTCACATCAAAATCCACCAACATGTTTGTTTAGAACTGTTTTAGACTGTTTTTGTGCTCCATCTGTGCATATTTCCCTCATGATTCCGGCGAGATGACTTTTTCACTAGAGGAAGCAATATTATGGATAGAGGATTCATAAAACATCGTAATGATGTATTTGTTGCTTACAAACACAACTTTTCAAGTCACAAGACATGACTGGACTGGAATGGTGTCAATTACTTGTGGATTATTGTGATGTGTTTATCAGCTGTTTGGACTCTCATTCTGACGGCACCCATTCACTGCAGAGGATCCATTGCTGAGCAAGTGATGTAATGCTACAAATTCTCCAAATCTGTTCCAATGAAGAAACAAACTCATCTTCATCTTGAATGGCCTGAGGATGAGTATTTTTTTATTTATTTATTTTTTTGATGAGAAAAATGAGAAAGCAAGAGTAAAAAAGCAAAAAAAACAAAACAATGTTACATAAGTTAAATACATTGTGAATGTAATTTCTTGTTGTTTTTAAGGTCATAATGTAAAATATAAATATAAATGTAGCAAAAAGCATCATTACTTCAGTTTTCATTCTATAATATGCTGATTCACTGCCTAAGAAACACTTATTATTATTATTATTAATGTTGAAAACAGTTTTTTTCTGCAAACCATGATACATTAGATTTTTCAGGATTCCTTGATGAATACAAAGTTCAAAAGAACATCATTTATTTGAAATAGAAATCTTTTATTAAATGCCTTTCACTTTTGATGTTGCATCCTAAAGACATAAATGATTCATTGAGAGGATCATTTGTTTCGGGCTTGTAACTGCTGAGCAGCCACCTGAGCTTTGCACGGGCAAAGAAAATGTTGAAGAAGAGTGTGCATTTCTGTTTTGTAAAGAGCATTATAACCAAGCCCATCTCAAATTTTCTTCGTCCCTTGAGGACGAGGCATCAAGTCACGGAGAAGGAGAGAGATAAAGAAGTATGGAAGCAGAATTTGTGATGAACGGATCTTTTGAGGAAAGAGAGTTCTTCAGAATATCAAAAGAGATTTGCAGTTTGTCTTTTTTCCATTTTCATAATCTTGACTAACAGTTTTGGATATTGACCTGTCTTCACTGAAACAGACAGGAGATCTACTTTTTGCTTTGTCTTAAATACATTGTTTAAAGTTACTGTAGTGTGATTTTATTATGAAGTTTTGTGTCTGATGTGGTGGCCCTGTAGTGCACAACACAACAAAATTTAAATCGCAAATCTAATTTAACAACACAGCGGAACAAGCAGAAATGCTTCTTTCTCGACCACTATATAGGGTGCATTTAAGCTAACATTTCAGGCTTCATTCTAGATGTAATGGTTTAACAAAAATCCAAGTTTTCAACTTTTTTTATATGGTACCAATCTTTTTTTAATGAACCCTTGAGCAGGGTGTTAGCAGATGTTGCTTATTGCATTTGAAATGAGCCAAGTCATTTAGGCTATAAATGCAAAGTTCAAGTGTCCATAAAAAATATTGGTACAGTAAAAACTGTTCTGAATTTGGAACATTATTTCTAGTATAAAGGTTGAAATGTTAGCTTTAATGCACCCTTTATTAATGAATGGATGCATAAACACATAACCTAATAAATGAACGCATGAATGAATGCACAAATGCATGAATGACAGCATAAATGAATGCATGAATGCATCAACTAATGAATGAATGCATGAACACACAAGCAAATTAATGAATGCATTAACAAATGCATGCACACAGGAATGCATGCATGAGCAAATTTATTCATGCATGAACAAATATATGCATGCACGATCAAATTAATGAATGCATGAATGAATGTATGAACGCATAAACAAATGCATGAATGAATGCACAATTGCAAAAAAATGCATAAACAAAAACATAATTGGATGCATGAATGCATGAACGCTTAAACTAATAAATGAATGCTTGAATGCATGACCAAACACATGAACGAATGCATGAATGCATAAGCAAATAAATGAATGCACACATGAATGCATGCATGAACAAATTTATCCATGCATGAATGAATGTATAAGCATATAAACTAATGAATGAAAGCATAAATGCATGAATGAATGAATGCATGAACTCATAAGCAAATGAATGAATATAACTGAATGGATGCTTATACAAATATATGTATGCATGATCAAATTAACAAATGCATGAACAAATAAATGCATGCATGCTTGATCGAGCAGATTAAAGACACTTGTCAAGCCTACTGTGCATTTCATATGAGGAGCACTATTTGTATGACACAGAGTTTCTGCCTATTTAGTGTGCTCCGAATCAGTCACTTCAGTTAGGATGCTGCCTTAGAAGGAAGTTGCCTATGTAGACAGCAAAGCAGCTTGACAGCATTTGCAACAGAACCTCTGTATGTGTGTGTGTGTTCCTGGCTTTTCTCGACTGTATTGTCATGAGATTTAACTTCAATAGGAAATCCATCTCTCTTAATTGATTCCCGAGGCTTTACCTCAGTGTGAGTGCTGGAAACATGTATTAGTGTGCGATTAGCTCTTCATAGTACGGGAATAATGATCCTGTTTATCCCAACAGGAAAGAAAGGAAGAGAGATAACGGAGTCGAGGGAATTTCGTATGTGTGTGTGTTTGTGTGACAGGAGGGATATCGCACAAGTTCACAGTTTTCTCTGGCTTTATGATATGTGTGTTTGTGTGTGTATGTGTGTGTGTGTGTCCCTCAGGGCTTCATTACAGTTGAATGGGAGCTTGAGCTCACTGTCCCTTGATTATAACAAACATACAAACAGCTGACTCTAATAAATACATCACACACCTACAAAAGCACACACTCATCTATTTAACTGCCTGCTTAAAGATTTCTCCTTTTTTCTGAGTCTATGATAAATAGTAATAATGATGCTTGATTTAGCAAGAGGCACCAATTAAGACTGAAACAGTCTTGTTTCCTCTGAGTAGAGGAGATGCTCATATGTTTCTGCTGACCGTCGGATGTTTTTATCTGCTGTAGGATATTGATGCAACTCTTAAATCATTCTCATGTTTTCCTGGTGAATTTCTGTCTGTTTCTGCCCCCCAGAAGACACATAACTCAGATGTGGCTCTCCACACGATTTATAATATTTTAAATGGGTCATGGAAAATGGATTTTCTTGCTCTTTTGAGTAGAGTTTTAACCCTGTTTTTGTTTAACTCTAAATGATCAACATGATCAAAATGTTGCTGATAAACCTGTCACACACAATCTACTACATGCCTTCAACATACTATAGTTGATCTATACTATGTACAGTACATCTGCATCAGACAGATGTCTCAGATGTTGCATTGCATCTCTCTGCACGAGTGCTGCATTTTTAACATGGCTTTTAGACTCCAGTGTTCTGCTCTATTCAGTCACTGTCGACCTGTTTTTTAGCACAGCATGTCCTGTGTGACACCCGTTAATGCTCTCTGTGCAGCATTGAGCGCTGTTGCTGAAAGTCTGAAGAGTCACCGTGTAAAGTGAGGTTTTGTCAGCCTATAACCATCATAATAGCAAAAACGCCACTCCAAAGGAAATCACAAAATTATAAAAGGCTCCAATTTGGCATTTTTGCATGTGGTTGTTGCTGGGCTTTGATAAGTGTGAAATGCTTGATGTTGATAAAAGTCATGCAATTAATATGTTTTGCATGTTTGCGTCAGTTCTGAGTACTCGTACCATATCTGTTGTTAATGTTAAGGTTAGCCATTCACAGCAGAGGTCATTTGCATATAGTACAGTAGCAGAATCAGCCTGTTTAATTGTAAGGCATGGACAGGGAGGAAAATGGTCATAAAAGGCTAAAATGTGACATGATAGACATAAGTGGACTGCTGGGGTGATGTTTACCTGTATATAATGCAGGCTGTTTTCTGGCAGGTTGAGCAGTTGTTGATGTCCTGACCTGTTCTGTAAGAACAACGCCTGAAAAAACAAGAAAGTATGAAGACCTACACACACACACACACACACACACTTTAAGCATGTGATTCACACACAGAACATTGAATTAGAGGTCTGTGCTTTTCCATCCCACTTCCACCCACAATGAGTTTCTTCCTACACATGTCTGCGTTTTTATTTGTTATTTCCAGGTATTACAAAGAAGAGTCTTCTTTTCAGTAATGTCACAAGAGATGCTCTTATTGTAGCCTGTGTTTTAGTTGTTAAAGGTTTCAGTCCAGTTTATGTACATTTTAATATATATATATATATATATATATATATAATGTAATAATTAATAATAGTTTATGCATTTAGCAGACGCTTATATCGTCTGATATTTATTTTCCAATTAATTGAAAGTGCTGGAATGTTGTTCCAGTCCTATTTTGTAATTCAAAAAACTCTTGAAACTTAATCTGCATATAGAAACTAGAGTTTTTCTACAACTCAGAAATGTAGTCTTGTGTCACAACCAATAAAATCAAGGCCAGTGGGAATCCCACAGGCATACAGACCTCTATTGAATGTCCTTGAATATGTAATGAAAATGAACACTTGAAAACATACAACACAGTCACTTTCCTGATCGATCTTGAGAGATCTGAGGTTTGAATCAAAGCAGAGTTTTGACGAAACCGTGTGTGTGTGGATGGAGGAGAAAAAAGAGAGGGAAACTCTTAAGAGATTAAGAGAAAGGGTGTAAATGCGTTAGGAGGTGTAGCAGTAAAGATGAGACAGAAAGTAAGCCATCAGATGAGAAGGAGAGAGAAAGAGAGTTTGGGAGCGGTAGGGGGTCGATGTCCCATTGATGATCGAGATTCCCAAGGCGTTGCCGCAGGATGCATCAGTTACCAGGGGAATTATGGGATGATGGAAGTGTGGAATCACAAATCAAACACGCTTTCATGAACTCCAGAGCCTTAATCTCTCACTCTCACTCACCCTTCACTCATTGCCTTGTTCCTCTCCAGATCCTGAATGACATTGAGAAGAACTTTGATCTTTTCCTGATTATACAGCAGGTTTTCTTCTACATTCTGCAGCAGTCCATGTAGAACGCCAGGTGCACCGTTGCATTGTGGGATATCGTCTGTTGGAGGTGGGTGGGTGTCTTTAGAGTCCGTTTCCGTCTCAGTTTTAGGTTCTGATGGAGGAGGGGGTGGGGTTTGTGGTTTAGGCTCCGCCCCTGAGCCAATCAGAAGCTCTGGAGGTGCTGGTTTACATTTGACCTGTATTGGTTTCAAGTCTTTCTTGGGTAGAAGAGTGGGCGTGGCTTGGGACTCACAGCCAATCGGTTTAGACGTGGCAGATTTGTGCGTTTGCGTAGTCGCACACATGTCCTTTGCATCTTGTGATGCATGTTGTGCGGTTGATTCTGTTTTGACTCGTGTTTGCGTGTGTTGTGTTTTGTGCGTCGTCGAGTCATTATTGGGTTTTTCAAACTGTGTCGATGCCTCTGTTTTCACATCTTTTTTGTTGGATTGTGAAGGGGTGGAGCATGCGTTTTGCGTAGTGTGATTGGGAATTTGCGCATACATTGGCTGTCCAACCGTTGAGTTTCTTTTCTGCAAGCGAGGTGAACAGCTTTTCCTCGGCGGTGTCGGAAGCGTCATGCTCGTTTGAACCTGACTGGCGGCTCGTTTGCGACAAGCGGGTGCCATGCAGGGAGGGGCTTGAGACTGTCTCCGCCCACAGCTGGTGCACAGTCTGGGCGATGACGTCATCACGCGACATGGGCGAGGGGGCGTGTTGTACGAGCCGGTGGCTGGCCTGGCCGCCTCCCCTTTCAGCGACTGACCCCGCCTACATTCACGTGTCATTGTTTGGCTCTGCCGCCTTGCTTCTTCAGGCTCCGCCCCTTCGCTACAAACTCCGCCCACCACCTCGGGTGCAACAATACTTCCGTTAACGTATCGAGGGGTTCTTTTTAAACTCCCTCTTTGCCCAGATTGGTTTGGATCGGCTTTGATTTGACAGTACACCTCGCTCTCCTGGGACGTCCTGTCCTGTGCCACATGGTTCCTGGATGCTGCCTTGACGACATGCCTTCCATTGACTTCACAACGCCTCACCCGGTCTAGCGACATGGTTTCGGCAGGCGGTCCGTTGGCCGTACTGACTGTTTGAGTCCTCTTCTTCAATGACGGAAGCGAGCGGAGACCCGGCGACGTTTGGACGCCAACGCTGCACAGAGGGCCCCATTTCTGAGACAGGACAGCCCGACCACCAGCTAGAGGCACCTCCAGTGCCGGCACCGCATTGGATGTGTCAGCTGCCCGTCGGCCCATGACCTCTGCTGATTGGCTCAGCCCCCTGAGGAGGAGCTGGAGGGGGCGTGGCCTTCGTTTATAAGCATACTATCTAAAACAAAGATGATTATTCCTTGGTGTGTTTTGGGAAGTTGTATATTCCACAGCAAGTGATCGCATTGGTCAGAAATCCGTTTTCACATCCGTCTTGCCATCAATCCAGTGTCTAAGTCTTCAAATTCGTTGTTTGCCTGTCTGAGAAAGAAGAAATATGTGTGTAAAAGATATTAGACTGTGCATGTGCTACTCATAAATTACAGTCATTAAAGGGATAGTTCACCCACAAAAGAAGATATTTTGAAGAATGTTGGTATCCAAACAGTTGACGGTAGCCATTGACTTACACTGTATAAAAAAAGTATTATGGAATCATTGGCTACAGTCAGCTGTTTAGTTACCAACACTCTTCAAAGTGTCTTTTTTGTACTCAACAGAAGAAAGAAACTCAAGTTTGTAACAACTTAAGGTTGAGTAAATGATGAGAGAATTTTCATTTTTCGTGAACTGTCCCTTTAAATGTCCCTTTAAAGGAACACTCCACTATTTTTGAAAATAGGCTAATTTACCAACTCCCCTAGAGTTAAACAGTTGAGTTTTACCGATCTCCGGGTCTGGCGTAACAATTTTAGCTGTAGCTTAGCATAGATCATTGAATCTGATTAGACCGTTAGCATCTCGCGCTAAGCTACAGCTAAAAGTGCTACGCCAGACCCGGAGATCGGCTGAATGGATTCGAAAACGGTAAAACTTTAACTCTTATGGGAGTTGGAAAATGAGCCTATTTTTAAAAATAGTGGAGTGTTCCTTTAAAGCTGCGCTCTTGATCTGCACCAACAAAAAAGTAGCTAATTGCATTGAAGCTGTTTAAGAGGCTGTTATCAGATGATTTCATTCAGAGTAGTATTATCTTGTGCAAAACCAAGAGGATTTCAATTAAGGTGGTGATAGTAAAGGTGCACTCAGTAATTTTACTCTCATTATAAAAGTTTTTTACACTAAGAAGTGAAAAGTAATTTGAAAAAAAAAAGATTTAAATCATGTAGACTGTAGCACTATTCAATTGATCTTTTTCTGTTATTGGATTTTTTTTTGCACACAAAATAAATAAATCATGGCTAACTGTGAATAATCTATTTTTACAATTGGAAAATGTAATTGTAAATACAGTTTTTGAGTAGTCATGCATCCATGCAGTCTCGTATGTCCAGGTCATTTGATCTAGTGCAAGTCAAGCAAAAAATTACTGAGTGCACATTATAACAGTATTTAAACAGAAAAAAAACTAGAAACCAATGTGAATAACTGAGGTAACAGATGAATCAATTAATTAATTTTGAAAGGTTTGTTTAAATATACCATACAAATGAACCAATTCAATAAAATTAATCAAGCTTTGGAATGTCTTTTTGCATTTTAAAAAGAATTGATGTAGGATGGAACTTGCAGAAATTAATAATAAATAAAGACATTTATTTATTTATTTATTGAAAAAAAGAAAGAAAGAAATGCACATAATAAATAAATGATCCAGTTAGGAAACTGTATTTTAATTTTCAAACAATTCATAAATGTATACATTTAATTTATTTAAAAAGTAATATATTTATTTTATTTGCTAATGTACTCATTAAATTAGTGATTTATTGCATGTATTTATTTATATAATTATTTATAAATATTTATGAAAATATGTATTTATTTCATCTTCCATATAATATTGACTGACTTCATATGATTGTAAAGCTGTGTGTGCAATATGTGACAAAAACGTGTTTTATTATGATGCTCTTTGGAAGGAGCAACTTGATACTTGTTTTTTTTTAAAACAGCTAAACTTTTGAATAGTTAGTAGCACCACAACCGAGTTACTTTCTCACACGTGTGTGTCTGTAATCAAGAATGCTAGTCAACAGAAACCAAAGAGACATTCTTAAAGTTCACGTCCATCTCCTTCTCAGAGACTCCAATAACCCAACACGACTATTACGAATATTAATGAGGGTTAACAAAATCCCCCATATGTCAAATGCAGCTGATTAAAGTCTCACTCTCTCTCGCTGCTTCTCTTCCTGAAGGGCCTATTATTATCACTTTATTCCTCTGTAATCTCCTCCTCGTCTTAAGTGTTCTCCCTCCTTTCTTTTGCTCTTTGATAAGCTCTCTGTGTGTCTTGTAGTTCGTATCTTGTTCTCTGTTAAGCTTCTTTTCTTTTATGAGACAGTCTCAAAGCTTCCCGTCTCCTTTGACCCAAAAACTGTGTGTGTGTGTGTTACTTGCACTTTCTAACAAAACAGGCCAGAGTTTAAACACTATGAATGAATGAATGAATGAATAATCAGCAAATGTCAGCGAAATGAGGTTTTTAGCCTCAGGGTTATTATAGTACATAAAAAAACAGTTTAGTTACTTGAAATAAAATAACTGAAAAAACTGAAATAATATATAAATTAAAATTTAAGTAAATAAATTAAAATAAATATTTCAACTAGCTGTCAAGGCAACATTTCTTATTTTAATATAGTTTAACTTGAATAACTAAAACGGAACAAAATATTTTATAAAAATATACAGTATGTATAGACAGACAGGCAGACAGATAAAACCCAGAACTACTAAAAATGAGAAAAACATGCCACAAAATTCCTAAACCTTTAACTAAAATTAAAACAAAATGGAAAATATAAAAAAATAAAACATTCAAATTTTTTAAATAAAATTTATTGTAGTGTTATAGTTGAGGAACATTTACAGTTTTTTTCCTACAACATTCTCAAGACCTCAAATGTACATTTTAAAATGGTTGTGCTTTCAAAAAAAAGTTTGGTACATTGTAACTAATGCCATAATAATGTAAATTTATATGCATGATAAATCACTCTTGAAATGAGGTGTAATTTACGTTTTAGAAGAAATGTGAAAGTCTCTTGAAATAACATTAACCACAGACCTTATATGACTTATTTAAAAGTTACTCTTAAATCCAAAACCGCTTATGAAAAGCCATTATAGATTAGTTAGAAGAGGGACAGTCCAGAATAACCCTTATTAGACAGACATTAGATCCGTATAAAGTGACCTACTTTTCATGAAAAGTGTAAATTAGTTACACTGAAAAAAGGTGTAGAATCTGTAGAAACCATTTCAATTGAGAAATAGCTAGTATATTTCACAAATTGAAAAGGAAGCAAGTAACACATTAAAATTTAAATGAAGTTAAATGTGAAATTTTGAAGTAAAAATGCTGAATTTTCTTGTAAAATGCATTCTGGTCATCTTTTGAATTTATTTGTTTTTTTGTTTTTACACTGTAAATAATAGTGTATTTGATTCTTTATCATTGTGGAAAGTGCTTTGTGTGTGTGTGTGTGTGTGTGTGTGTGAGAGAGAGAGAGAGAGAGAGAGAGAGAGAGCGAGAGAGAGAGAGAGAGAGAGAGAGAGAGAGAGAGAGAAAAGAGTATTATTGGTCAAAAATGCTAATGACCCCCATTAGCCTCTAACAGATGAACATTATATTACAACACTACTCATTTATTTCATGTGCGCACACACACACACACACACAACAGTCCTAATGAGGAACAAAGCGTCGGTGTGTTTAATTATGAGAGTAATTGAAGTTAGTTTGGAATATTTGACTGAATATTTGCATTTCTTAGAGCAGTGTTTCCCAACCGGGGTGCCGCGGCACCCTGGGGTGCCGTCTGTCGAGAGCAGGGGTGCCGTGTAAAAAAAAATCATTTTTTAATATTCTTAAATTGCTAAAATGTTCAAAAAAGCATCTATTATATAATATCAATTTCTGATGTCGCCAATAATTAGAGATGCACCGAAATTTTTGCATAATGTTTACATAAAAGCCTACATTAAAAACTGTCATATAAATTGGTCTCTTCATTAGAAATTAGCCTACTGATTGCCACCATTAATGGACAATTTTTTTTTTATAATATTAAAAATATCTGTATGACATTATATTCTGCAGTTCTTCCCTGTTGTACCGAATATCTATACTTTTCAAATTATCATATCGAAGTTAGAAATTCAAATATTGTGACAAAATTAATTTTGTAGGGTGCCACAAATTTGTTAAAATTTCCAAAGGGTGCCGTGACTAAAAAAAGGTTGGGAAACACTGTCTTAGAGCATCCCAGAGATTACGTTCATTAGGATTATTTTCATTTGAACAAACTATTGGAGACATCCGAAGCCAAATCTCCTCCTCTCGTCTTTCATGTCTGCCGTCTCTGAATCCTCTGGAGAGGGAGTGTGGGCTGCAGGGCGGCTGTTTGCTCTGTGATGTGTTTAGAAGAATTTAGATTCATTGATCTGCTGGATTTGACACTTTTTGACCTTGGATTGGATCAGATTAAAGTACTGTGGTAATACCATGGTGTGCTTTTGCATTCATTGGCAGTCATTAACAAAGAGTTATGTATACCCATATGGTATACCATGATATTACCATGTTTTTTTGACATTTCACACAGTATTACCTTGTACCATTGAGATACTATAATATATGGAAAACATTCAGTACCTTAAAGTAATGGTAAATATGAAATTATACTGTATATATATATATATATATAATTTCACATCAATAGTGTTCATTTTAAACAAGAACTTGAAATGTAAACACAATTACCAATTACGCGCAAAGAAAAGGAAATCTAGTTTTTCCATCATGCTTTGAAACGGACTGCAATAGGAGCGAAAATGTTCAAATTAGGTGTTTTTTTGTGTGTTTTTGCACATAATTAACTGGAGAAGATCTGTTAGTGTTTAATACTGCTAATGGGTACTGCAATAACTAATAGTTAACTGCTATTTTAATGGATTCAAATTAAAAAAGTTGACATTACTCATATTTATTTTTTATTTTTATTTATTTTTTTATTTTTTTTGGCTTACCCAAATACTTACTTTACTGTAACTTGTTGGGTCTACTCAGTTTTAAGCATCATGGTACCAAATGTAGTCATTCAGATTTTTTTTTACTTTACATTTATTTAAATTTACTTGCTATAGAAACAATTTTAACCCAGAAATTGCTAGTAAATTTCAAAATTGATTGCAAAGAAACAGTAAGTAACACTTTGAATTAAATATAATTTTGAAGCAGAAAGACTGATATAGTATTTTCTTGTAAAACATACTCCAATAATCTTTGTTTTATTTACAACTTTGAAAAATCA